CAGAACGACGACGATCGTAGTAGGTAAAGTTGTACCACTGTCAATGAAGAGAGTTGAACTTTAAGAGTCGTGACTGCTTTGTCAATTGACTCAGACTCAGCTTGATGTGGTCTAAATGTAATCGGGAAGCAATTGATAGATTTGGTGGACGTAATTGAATGCAACATCTGTAATTAATTAATCATATATTTTGATTTTAAAAAACGCAATGCATTTATTTTGATGCACTATTGGCACATTTGAGAATGGATCGAGAGCACTTCTCCCATTCGTCACGAAATGCCTTTTAATGTTACAAAAAAGTGTTTGATCGGCTGACGTTTCAGGCAATGGTTCTTCTTCAGAGCAGACAGAGGGGCAGAAAGATTTACTCGAGGTTGAAGATTGACCCCGTAGGGCTTTGAGAAAATTATCAGTATAAAAAACGTAACGATTTGAAACCGCTTGTCCAACATAAGAGTTTTCCATGAATATAAATTAATAGCCAAACGAGCTCTTCCAAAGTAAACTGAGTCTGCATTCACTCATTTAAAAGAAATGTGATATCATCACGTCTTGACTGACAAACCATAAGGCAGTGCGATGATGCACGTCGTGAGTTGTATTTGTGCTTGTGCACCACTGCCGATGCAATCCTCCCAATGTTGATGCATTTAAGATTGTAAAGGGGGAAGTGGGTGCACGCCTACGGAATACGGGCGCATCGAACCAGGACTTCTGATGTCCTGGGTTCAAACCCGGTGCCGTTTGCCCGTGAATAAACCATGTTCTCAAGTGGACTTGGTTGCTTATCTCAGCCTAGTTAAACTAAACTGCTTTTTTATTTTACCAGGTAAGGTCCACTTAGCTATATAGTTATTTTTGCAGAAGCGACCTGGCACGACGAAGTGGCGTATCACGTGGACATGCATAGCACCCAAAACACTCCAAACGCGTGACGTCGATTATAAATGTGGAGGGGAAAACCGGAAGATTCAGAGAAAAATCCACGCGGCGACCACTGAGAGAGAGAGGCACGCAAACTCCAAATATACAGCAGGCATCAGAGTCAAGATCTAACCCACGACCTCCTGTATACCAGGCGAGGAAGTTCACATTTTGCCACCGTGGCACCCCAGGTTATCAGTGACTGCACATTAACATCCTGTGAAACTTGGTTTTACACTTAATTTAAATAAAAATATATGTTCGAACGCCATGCAATGAACCTGTGGGAAAAAAAACCAGGTCTGTTGAAGGGATGTCAGAAGTAGTTCTGTAATGTCTGGTTCCATGGGCGATGCCCTAACACACAGAGTGATGCACCGCTCTGAAAATGTACAGCGCATGAACAGGACGCTGCTCGCAAAATAGCAATGGCATTGCGAGGGAAACACATGTAATTAAAATTGTCTTTTGTTTAAAAGTAAAAAAAAATTATGGCGCAACAAATATATTTGGTATCACATATTTGTCACTGTTTTGTACTATTCTGTACAGAGTTTTATACTGTGCTGTACATGTATGTGTGTGTGTATTTAGATCAACCACATTGTTGTTTTGTATTTAAAAAATACAATGCAATTTAAATATTCGTTTTGAAAAAAAAAAACAGTCAAATTAATAAATACATCTGCAGTGAAATAATAATAATAACAATAACACACAAGCGTAAACAGATATTCACATCACACCAAACACTCGAGACTCAACTTTGCTCCAATGTAATATTCATTAATTTTTAGACAGAGCTAAGGGGGGAAAAAAGCAGGCAATAATTCTACCCTGAAACTCTAGACTTAACAGTTGCGGCAGCATAAGTCAAAATAAACTTTCGCTTTTAAAACGTGCATTTAAATTGTAACAACATGTTTCTGGAACCCGGGTGGCTGCAGTGTGGAGCTATTAAACGTTGGACGATCGCTTTAAATGCATTCCTTACCTCTTTCTCCTTCTACTTTGAAAGATACACGAGTCACTGGGATAAGTTCTGAAGGAAATCAATTTACAGTACTTACATCACCATGCACTTTACGAAACTAAACTGATCTGAATACTTTTTTTTTTAGACGAGCAGTATGTCAGTACCACAAAGTACCTTTTAAAGTAAAGGCTGTAAATCTGTAAGACATCTTGACGACACAAAAAAAACATCTGGCGCACACTTTTAGTTCATTAATTGCGTCTGCTATAACAACTGAACATGTACACATCACTTAACAGTGGCGTTGTAATGGTTTGCATGAATGTGCTCTCAGCTGATTTTGTACTCCATGAGTCTCTGTCCTCTTGTTTTATTCATCTGCGGTGTTCTTATACTTTTTTTAATAACATGTTCATTTTGATTTAAAGCTTTCGTGACTGCAGGGATTCATATTCCTGGTTCTTTCGGTAAAGTCACGTAGAAGGGAAACAATAAAATAACAAAAATATAAAACAATAATTATTATTTTATTGTTTCCCTTCTGCGTGACTTTACCGAAAGAACCAATAATATGTTCATTTTGTTTAGTAATTGGCATTGCATGCCGTTTTATTAAAAAGATGAATTAGACGTTATTATATACCGTGTGTGTATGTTTGTCAATCCACTGCTGATCTGGAGCCTTCCCACAACGTGCGGGTTATTTTGACCATACTTCCCCACACTGGCCATTATTGGTTGGTGAAGATGGGGTGCAATAGACGTTGCAGCATATGAGTATGGTGCAACAATAGATTTTACGCACTGCCTTAAAGTACCTTAAAATAAATATGTTAAAGTAAGCCTCTAAATATTTGGACACCATGCCATAAAATGTTTACATAAAATATTTTTCAATGTTACTTTATAAGTCGCTCACACGTTCTTTTCACACATTTACACGTTGCTACACAATAGCGTTGTAACAATACGTGTGGTAATTAACATAGACGTGTTTAATCTCACGATGCATGCAACAGATAGCTTGTGTTGGAATCAAATGCTTTGCGATTCACGTGTGTTGTGAGCAATAGCTTAGCGTGACCCCCTGAAACCACTGGAATCATGACCATTGATTGAATCACTGGCGGAGACAAATTAACAAATTACTGGAACTGTCCGCAAATTAAGACCCACCCCAAAAACTTTGTGTCCAGTGTCAATTAAATGATAAAAATCCGGTCACGCGCGCACAGGCACACAGCTAAAGGATCATCATCATGACACATCCCCCAAAACTTTTGCTTTAATTTAAAGCACCGGGGGGGAGAGGGAGGTGCAACTTACAATCTGGATAATACAACGGACGTGTAAGAATTGCTGATGGGTTTCCGCGCACCTCCGATTAGCACGGTTGGCTACGTACGGCGCAAAAGAAGTTCAACATACGTACGTACTTTTGATTTAAAGCTTTCGTGACTGCAGGGATTCATATTCTTGGTTCTTTCTTCATTGTTCCCCTTTCTACGTAACTTTACCGAAAGAACCAAGAATATACGTACGTACGTTCACGAGTTTGGTCTGAATTTGCCTTTTTTGTGTCATATAATTAACCGCATGTCCCGGTTTTCATTGCCTCCCTTCCATCACCGATTGGCATTTTGTTGTGGGCACTTCACTCCTGCAGGATGTTTGCTATTGCCACAGCGCTGATGGATTTGCCGCTTGATAAATGTGGCTTTTGCCGAAGGTTGTTGCTTTGTCTTTGTTTCCGAGACTGCGCGGGCTCAGCATTGCTATCTGTCTATTTTAACGTCTTGTTGGCGATTTGGTCTTGTTGGTGATTCGACACACAGCGCTCGTTTTGTCCGTCGGCTATTTTACGCCGAGCGAAAGGAGAAACAAGATGTTAGAAATCTCTTAACTTTGTTTTCGTAAGTGCTCTTCCTTTGCATGCGTATATACGGGGTGAAGTGGTGGGTGCAGTGGTTGGCACAACTGTGCTACCAACCCGGTGACTTGAGTTGATTACTTCGGTGGCAAGGGGTAGCTGAACCGGTCCTGGGAGCCACCGTGAAGTATGGTAAAGCTGGTCCAATGATATACAACGTTGTGAGAAGACCTTCATCCAGCGGTGGATTGACCGAGGCCTGAACAATGTTTTTTTTTTATTATTGAACAAAAAAAATTCAGGAATTACAACTCTTGTCAATCCACTGCTGGATGAGGGCCTCCGACCTTGCCTTGTCAGTCATAAAGCTTGTTTGACCATACTTCACCACATTGGTGAATGTGGGTTGGTGAAATTCCACCCCCTCCTCCCTCCCGTCCCGTGAACGACGTTGGTTATTCTGCATTTGATATCTAAAGACTACGCTTAAGAACAGTGATTTAAAAAAAAAATCTGTGCTTTCCTGCGCTATCTGCGCGTCCATCCCCTCTCCGGTTCGGTGTAACGAATGTTCACAAACTACGTCAAGTATCAGGGCACCAGTGGTGCAGAAAGAAGGCGGCTTGGAACGAGAGCATGCGCAGTGCCACCTTGTGGCTCTGAGAGCGAAATTAAATATTTCGGCCCCATCCCTCTCTCATTCACCGGCGACAATAACTGAGCTTGCAGGCCATCACAACTACGTTTAAAAAATATAAATTGGTACTAAAATCCGCGTTAGCCACGCGTGGTGAAGCATGCCGCATGACGGGGTTTGGTGGTTGGATCACACGGATAGGTGAACGAATGTGAAACTCTCAAGCCTCATGGGCTGCCCCGTGGTCAAAAGATAAATCCATCTGTGCAGTGCTCTGGGTGTTATCCACCTCGTATGTGCCAGATTTCTCCGGGTTTTCCAGGTTGCTACCACATACCAAATGCTGATCATGGGCTTGGGCAAAATTCCTAATACAGGACGCTGTATTCGTGAAGATTTCCTGGGTAAATGAAGAACATTGAATTAAATTTTGATTTAAAGCTTTCGTGACTGCAGGGATTCATATTCTTGGTTCCTTCGCTAAAGTCACGTAGAAGGGAAACAATAAAATCATAAAAATATAAAACAATAAAATGTTAAAATATAAAACAATAAAATGTTATATAATAAAATTTTATTGTTTTATATTTTTATTATTTTATTGTTTCCCTTCTACGTGACTTTACCGAGAGAACCAAGAATATGACACTGAATTACGTAACTTTTTTGGAATAGCTTCACCCTTATATAGGAGTATATTTTTTTATTTTTCAAAAATGTCAATCCAATAAAATGTTTAATCCTCAAAGCTCGAATTATCCAAAATTAAGTTTTACAAAATTAATGTAACCTCATATTTGAGTTTTATGGTGTGGTCATTGGTGACCAGGCTGAGATAATCAACTCGCGAAACCTGAGAACTGGGCTCAATCACAAGCGGTGACTGCAACCCGGATTCAAACCCAGGACCACCAGCCAGCGGTGACGGCTCGCCCGCTCTGACACGGCATTAGCTCCCCGAGTCGCCCGTCAATCTCTCTAGGTCAGAACTTCATCAAGGGTCGATGGCTTTGACAACTTTTCTCTCGAATCGAAAATTGTTCCAAGCGCACGTTCCAGTGAAAATCCAGCCAACTAATTGGACGAGCCTGAAAGGACGTTAATCTTGCCGAGGAGATGGAGCAATGAGTTAAGTTCGTACGTACGTAAATCCGTGGGTTATTTGGCCACAATACATTTCCACGTGATAAGCCACTTTGTTGAGCTATCATTTGTAGGCCAGGTCGCTCTCGAAAAATGACTCGTAGCTCAGTGGGCCATACCTGGTAAAATAAAACAAAAATAGCTTGTAGTTTTATTTATAGTTAGTCAATTTGGATACCGTGTGTGGAGGCATAGGGGTAAAAGTGTGGGATATAATGTGGCTACTCCCAACGATGCCGTTTAAAATTCATGCCGTCGAGTGCCTTTAATAATCAACACGTCTGGCCGGCGTGAAAGAGTAGGCCAAAATACCCTCGAGAGGGGGTGTCTAAAGTTCCCTATGGTGGAGGGCCTTCCACCAGCAGTGGCGTCAGCAAAATATTGCAGTGCTTGCACCTTTGCTCATCACCTTTGACACACATGTTTAGCGTGAATTTCAGTTTCTTCGAGGATTTTTTTTAAAATGATGGCCATTGTCATTGCCATCATTACAATGACTACAACAGGAAGTCTCAATGGATCGCGTTGCAACAGAGGTCAAATGCAGAGGGTGCATGGTTCAGGGAGCAGCGGTGCCGGAACATTGAATAATGGGAGCACGGTATGCACGTTGCGGCTCGCAAATTGAGCCGGTAGTTGTAAATCTTGCGGCGTGTTTACGCCATAGCGAAAGTAAGGTTAGCACATACCCCAAAGCATATCCTTTAGAAGTTTGTCACACTCACGGCCAGTCAAAGCTATTAGTGGCCAGTCGGTGTGTTTGTGTGTCTGTTCAGAGGTACAGACACCAGCATTGTGAGACATTAGACGCACATTTCTCCGTCCACCCCCCCACCCCCCTTTGAAAGAGTTTCATGGCAGCAGGTTGGTTTGCAGTCGAGTTGTTTGGGTTATTCTCCCAAATGCAAACCGGTGGGGTGTTGCGGTATTTAAACTAGCTGCCCCTTTTTGTTAGTTCGCCACTATCCCTGCAAGTTTCTTTGAGGCACAGCCGCGCGCAGCCACTTCAGCGAGCGCTGCGAGTGAGCGCCCGTGATTCGTTTCAGTTTTATTTTTTAATATTTTTTGTTTGGTTTGTGGCCGATGGTGAAAGCTTTGCCGGTGTCTCAACGTGCGACAAGCCGTAGGTCCCTGTGCAGGGTTCGAGGTACGTTGGACGCGGTATCTGCCTGGCCAACTGGCTTCTTGCGGGAAGGAATACAATTCGAATGGGAAATGTGAGCTGAGGAGGATCGCCGTGACGTTGTCTTTGTCAGTGCAATAATTGCTCCGACTTTTCCCACTGTGTGTTTACCGCCGTGTTATTGATGTTCATTTATTGTGGGACAGATGCAAATGCGCCTAATTGTATGTCAAAAGGCAATGCCAATGTCAACGATACTAATGCCAATTTATGCGATCGATTCTTTTATTTTGTTGGCTGTGTGTTTACGTGGCAATTTTGTAATTAAGATTTCGTTGTTTTCACTCCGAAAAATCAGTACGTTGCCATTGTTTGATGTTGTTTTGGCTGATGATTTGTTGCCATCGTCTACAGATATGTGTCAATACATACCAAACAATGCGCAATAATCTGACATTATTATTTTTAACATTGGCATTGCCTTCTCACGGTGAATACAAAAAAAATCAACAAAACAATATCCCCGGTACCTTTACGTACACTGTTATTCATGAAGGTCATGCGGTGATGTCCTTCGCGACTGAAAGGAGGAGCTCTGTACTCCGGACGATCTGCTTTCTAACTTTAAATCTTTGCAGACAATTTATTTCCGTTTTATCGTCAGGGTTCCGTTATATTAACAGTTGGAGCAAATTCAATGCGAGCGTAAGCATGGCATTGACCCAAAACGCACCGCAAACCTGCGGCAAGAAACACAATTTAAGATCTTATTGGCTCATGGTGTAATTCGAAATAAACGGAAACAGCTGAACGACCGAACGTGCTTGTCAACAGACGTAAACCATTACGGTCGATCATATCGGATGAACGAGGGTCTAATGAATATGCAGCGTACGTCTGAAAGTACGTCCACGTGCGAGATGGAGCAATGAAATCGGCTCGTCGTGAATTGTTACATCGCAGAGCTGTGAGAAATAAAGACGGCTCTGGGAGGCCTTCATCCTGAAGTGGTTTGAGCACGGCTGCCTAAGATTAATGTGTGAAGGGTATTTAAAGGCAAGGGCGATTACAGCTGCTATCCACGTCCACGCACTCAACCCATGAATTCCAGAATTTGCTTCTGGGTGAACTTAACATCGTCATGACTAGCATACACGATGGTAAAACGGAGAATTTCGCTATCATACAGCATGTCCTCGTTTGGACTGGAGGAAAAGGTGCAGCCCTGCAATTGCTTGCTCACGCCACTGCTTATGGAGGGGCCTCCTCTACGATAAGCTCCATGGAACCCCTCGAGAGGGTATTTGGCCTACTCTTCCATATTGCCGAAATGTCTTACTCCAGCACGCGCGCCACCTGCTATTTGACTGTGGATGTACCGATTTTACACTGCTGAGTGGGCAGAGGCACGGGAGGTGATTAAAAAAAAACCTACACCCTAGATTCAACTTCTGCATCTGGTGATCAAACCGGTGACCTCTAGACTCCCCACTGTGCTAACATTATACCACAATTAGCACGGTCGCAACTCCGAATTAGCACGGTCGGCTTTGTGCGGTGCAAAAGAAGTCCAACATATATACATAGAGCCTTGATTGAACTACGTGATTTAAAAAAAAAAGGATTTGCATCAGTACTGCAATTTTTGTTGTTGTAAGATTGTGCTTGTCTTTTCCAAAACCGTGCTGTGATTGCGCTGTCGGTATCGTGTCATTGGGATGAAGACATTTCAATCTGGAAAACCCTTGCAGCCAGCAGTGCAACTCACTGCGTTGTGTTGGGGAACGGCGCCAGGGAGACAAATAATGCCACAGAAATTCGGTGTTAGTTTGATTGCAATACAATTCTCGAGCCTTAAACAGGCACAAGCTTTTTTTTTTCACGTGTTGATTAGATTGGGTCTTTCGGTAAAGTCGCGTAGATAGGTTCAAATTAATAAAAAAATAAAATGAGCCAAAAACGACGACGTTTCTCTCTGCGTGACTTTACTGAAAGACCCAAAGACTATGAATTCCTGCAGTCACGAAAGCTTTTCGTCAAGATTGAACATTTTATATATATATACACACATCTAGAGTAGGCCAAATGAACTCACACCCCCGATTTAACACGATGACTGTTTTTTTATTCTCCCTGTGCGGTCATCGGCGACTGTTTCGAAACCTTCGCCCCACTCGACCCGAATGCCACTTTCATCGCAGATGGCTCCATTCCGAACTCGAACCCAAGATCTCAGTGTCTCTCACCCAAACCCCAGCCCTAAACCACCCAGCCACCTCCGTAAATTAGTTTTTTTTTCTTTCAACTTTGTGATGTCTATTTCAATAAGATGCCTGGTACAGAGCGCAAAACGCGACGCAGGGAACGGGAACCGGAAACCCTTAGGACGTTCTCGTCGCCCCATCTCTGTGCTCCTGGGTTTAGGAGGAGGAGGAGGAGGAGAAGGGGGGGGGGAGATTGGGCTCACTGCCCCACGCAAGTGGGGGCCGCGAGCGGGGTGCGTGTTGCGCTTTCATGCCGGCACCTGGACGGATGTGGAAGGGAAAACTTCAGGTCAAAGGAAAGACAACAGAGGGAGCGGTGAGAAGGAGGAGCGGAGGCAGGAATGCCTTTCAATGCAAGGTGCCCTTGTTGCTGTTGTTGCTGCTCTTTAACGCTTTGTGATTTTCAGGTCGGGACTGCGGCGGGTTTCTACAGAAGCGTGAGGAGGAGGAGGAGGAGGACGAGCGGAGGAGCCTGCTCTGTGCTTTGACTCTTCAGCCAGCCCGGGGGGGGGGGGGGGGGGGGTGGGGCCCAAAGAGAGGTCCCAGGGCCCGACGCGGTGGCCCCAGAGTGCCATGGCCCTACTCCCTGCGTTGCTCCTCTCCGCTGCCCTCTCGTCTCTCGGTTGGCAGAGCCACGTCGACGCCAGCGAGTGGTGGTGAGCGATGGCAGCCAGCGCACCTGATAGTGGACAGGATATATGGGGGGTATTTCGATTTAAAGCTTTCGTGACTGCAAGGATCCATCTTCTTTCGGTAAAGTCACGTAGAATGAGAATAAAATAATAAAATAACACAATAAAATTCTCACGACGTTTCGGCCACAACGCAAGCGGCCGTCTTCAGGTGAAAGAAACAGACCTGTCGGGACGACAGAGCTTCAATGAACATCGTTCATTGCGTTGTGGCCGAAACGTTGTGAGAATTTTATTGTTATTTTATTATTTTATTCTCATTCTACGTGACTTTACCGAAATAACCAAAGAATATGTGGGGTACTTCACCAGGGCGCCACGGAGGCGAGATGTTAACTAGCTCACCTGGTATACATGAGGTCGTGGGTTTGATCCCGACCCTGACACATGCAGTATATTTGGAGTTTGCGGTGTCTCTCTCTCTCCCCGTGGTCGTGTGGATTTTTCTCTCCACATTTAGAGTCAACATCACATGTTTAGCGTATTTGGCTGCTATACATTTTACACGTGATAAGCCACTTTGTTGAGCTATCGTTTGTGGCCAGGTCGCTTCTGAAAAAAGAGCGACACAGATTAGTGGGCCTTACCTGGTAAAATAAAAAAAGTTTCCTTTTTAGTTTAGCTTGCACTAAATATTCAGATAATACACTTTGGATTCATATTGTGTGCAGTAGAGGTGTATGGGATGCTCCAGTGGTCTAACGGTTCATGTAATGACCTCTAGAGGGGGGCGGGGGGTCTCTCTTAAGCTCTCTCTAGTGAAAACCCTTCCACCAGCAGTGGCTTTAAGGAAGTGATTGCAGGGCTGCACCTTTATCCCTTTCTTTTTTAATCGGATGAGCTGAGCACTTGTGAGAGAGACTGCTTCCAGCTGACTCCCGTGTACAAACAGCGTCCAGTCGGGAAAATACATCTGCGGATGACGGGAGCATCCGCATATCGATTGGGTGCCCATAAAACATAATGGGTGGATAAGAGGCTTGCGGAGCGGGAGCCTATCTGCCGCTCTTGCAGAGGTGTGCGGTCTGAGCCCAGGGGCCGCCCTGATCAACACTGCTGTAATCATCAGTGTGGCATCGTAGTGGACTTTAAAGATCCCCGTGATGTTATTAAATAAAAAAAAGAGGTGCCCATGTGTGCCGGCGTCACGGTCTACGCATTTGGCAAAACAAATATATAGCCAATTACTTAAATTGGAACAACCAAAAGCGACATCGTCGCCCCCTTTCAGACCGGTGCTGGTGTCAGCTTGCTGTCACAAGGGGTACCCCCAAGGCAAAAAAAAAACACAAAAATACAGCTGTGCATCGCTATTAACCCTTTCCCGTTCCCAGACAAGTGAAAGTTGCGGAATGCGCGAGCGGTTAAGTGTAAATTTTATTGAGAGAGACGCAGCGCGGCTGTTTATAAAGACATTGCACTCAATGCAGTTAACTGTTGCGACACGACCGCACTCTACGATAGCTGGTGCCAAACTGTGCCACACGCCCTCCCGCACGGCCTTGTGACAGCCTCGGTACCGATAAAGTTACTTTATTTTTTATTCCGGTTCCATTCCGATGACGTACGCATGCATGCATGCCATCGCAACGGGGATCGGGAAGAAAAACGGAATGGGAAAAAAAGTGGTTATTGAGAACGCATGTGATGTCACGAAACTGCAAGAAGCTGGGGCAATTTAAACACCCAATGAATGCCACCAGGATGACGACGCCGTCTCGTGCGGTGGTGGGGGGTGGGGTGGGGGTGCGTTTTCTGCGAACCCCGACAGGTCCCTTGCCCTGAGCCCGATGCAGCGCCCCGAAGCGTACCTGCTGAGCGCACAGCCGCTCTGCACCCAGCTGGTGGGGCTGTCCCCGGGTCAGCGAAAGCTGTGCCACCTGTACCAGGACCACGTGCCGCACATCGCCGACGGCGCCCGCCTCGCCGTGCGCGAGTGCCAGCACCAGTTCCGCACTCGCCGCTGGAACTGCAGCGCCGGCGAAGGAGACTCCGTCTTCGGGCGGCTCACGCACATCGGTACGGTGGAGGTGGACGGGCGGGCGGGCGGGCGGGCACGCGGGCACGCGATGGCGCGCATCGCCGGGTCATCCCGCAGGGACCGCAAATGATAGCTTTTTTTTACTTATTTTTTTTACTTATTTTTTTTACTTATTTTTTTTACTTATTTTTTTTACTTATTTTTTTTACGTATTTTTTTTTTCAAATTCCCTCCCACCGGCTCGTCCGAGCCCAGCCAAATCAGGATATACAGAATCAGAATATGTATTTATTCATACCGGAGGAATCCGATGAACTGTGAAGCTCTTCCTCACAAATGTCCAATAGACGTCGAGTGTGTTTTTTTTTTTCCCGCTGGCTATTCCGCGATACGCCGACCTCGCGAGGCAGCTGAATCTGACTTAACACCTAGTAGGGCCCGGGACGGCGGCTAAAGGATCCATTCGCTGGGCGTGTGAACGTCAGTCGTTGCGACTTAAAATGCGGCATCGCGCCTCGTTTTTAACGCGTCTAAACGTCACGCCGTGGGTGTGACGTTGGCGGCACGGGCTCGGCTTCTGCAGTGGAAAAAGACAACCTCCATCTCATGATTTCGTACGGCTGGTGTAGATGAAGAGCAACGAGTACAATTACAATTGTACGCTCAGGCGGTCAAGCCCAGATAATATAACCGCGTGAGGAGTAGCGGAGTGTATCGCCGTGATGTCTCCCTTCGTAATTGTGGATTGCCTGGTTCGGTACGACCTCGGCATAGCCCCAGCATTGCTCGGATGTGTCAGTGGAAAAGGGGTAATGTATTGTAGCTTGACATTAGCGAGGGGCCAGGCACGCTATGGAAATTTGGGGTGTCCTAGCCAGTGGAGGGTTCCTGGTGACCGTCGGTTAGATTACAGATAGGATGTGCGAAGTTCACTGCGCACTTCAGCATAGACAAAGGGAGTTCCACTGAACTACAATTACGTTAAACATGGAATACTTTTTGATGCAGCTTTGGAAGTGATTCACAAGAACAAATAACAGAAACTCAACGCATCTATCCATAACATTTTACTAAACTGAACATGTAATAGGCACTGTTTAGAGCAACAGCCCTTGCTACGAGAAGAGAGATTGATTACAGTGAATGTGCACAGCCAATGATCGTACTGGCTGTTTGCGTTTTTGTATTTAATGGTTCCATCACCATCACAATCCACAATTACATCACCTCATTAAAGGGAGAGTAAAGACTTAAACACACCACGGTTTTTTTTTGTGTTCAAAGTTTTGCTTGCATCTATTCACCGTATCTAAACATTGTGGGGGGAGTGTTCTGACGCCCACGACACCACCGCACAGCTGTCAACCCACGCCTTGTTCAGGTCCATACAGCGTACAGCCGTTTCAATACGGGCAAACAAAAACCAAACCATGTTGTCTCTTTGTTTGTGTTTCTCCCTTGTTGATGGGACTTTGTAGGACGAACGTTGATATGTATAAGGGGCACGGGGTGACCAAACATCTCGGAATTGGTCTGTAATAAGGTAGGGCACCGACAGAGGCTTGACAGGTGTCGCCTCCAATGGCTGCGCCCCTGAGATCCAGGGGTTCGAATCCAGACCCACCGACCTGTCACCAACCCGGATATTTTTTGTTCACGCGTTTCGCGAGTCTCTCTCTCTCTCTCTCCCCGTGTTCCGTTGCACGCCCCCATTTGACCCCGTGACCCTGTCGCCGTCGTTGACGCCGCAGGGAGCCGCGAGACGGCGTTCGCCCACGCCATCTCGGCTGCCGGTGTCGCGCACGCGGTGTCGCGCGCCTGCCGCGAGGGCGAGCTGGCCACGTGCGGCTGCAGCCGCGCCCCGAGGCCCCGTGAGTTGCAGCGCGACTGGCTGTGGGGTGGCTGCGGAGACAACCTGGAGTACGGATACCGCTTCGCTCGCGAGTTCGTGGACGCTCGCGAGCGCGAGCAGGGGGGGCAGCAGCAGCAACAGCAGCAGCAGCAACAGCAGCAGCAACAGCAGCAGCAGCAGCAACAGCTGGCGGCACGACACAGTGTGGAGCACTCGCGCACCCTCATGAACCTGCACAACAACGAGGCGGGGAGGAGGGTACGTACTAGACGAGTGTGAGTGTGTGCGGTTGCGAGTGTGGGGGTGTGCGGTTGTGTGTGTGGGAGGTGTGCGGTTGTGTGTAGCGGGTAGCGCGCCGGGCTACGAACCCGGCGACCCGAGTTCGATTCCAGCTCACGGCCAACGCCGGTGACGATTATCTGAAGCGGTCATTGGCCTCCCCGAGGTCGAATCAGCCTCAAATGAGTAGCTGGTGCGATGTGCAAAGATCGCCACTGGGGAGACAAAGGCGGCCAGGCGTGGTGTTGGCCGCCCACCCCATCGTGTGTTCCGTCCCACCCTTAATAGGTGCTCGCTAACAGCGCTGCCTCCAATAGTCTCTTCTTGTGGGTGTTTGTGTGTCGCTGGGGTTAGTGTCATGGTTCATGCAGCGCACTACGATCCTGGCCAATGGGCTCGATTTTCACTTGTCCGATAACGTAATCTCAATTGCCTCTCCGGCTTCCAGCAATTATGCCTCTCGTCCCTGTAAGCGAATCACCCCTGAATGCACCCAATCGTGATGGACCTTGGGGGCCGTCCATAAATGACGTCACGCACCTAGAGGGGTGGGGGGGGGGGGTGTCAGACGTTTGTGACGATGTGTGACGAGGGGGGAGGGGGGTTTGGTGAAATGTGACGTCACATCAAAATGCGCAACTTTAAATAAATATAGCCAACACGTTCTACTTAATTAAATAGACTTTTTAATAAATGTTTCCTCCTACAACATCAGAGTGCAGCACCACATTAAATACGCACGACAATGACAATAGTTTAAAGCGATTTGAAGTATGTGTTTTTTTTGGGAGGGGGGGGGCAGGGCTTTGTGACGTCATATTTGAGGGGGGGGGTCTGACTTTTTGTGACGCCGCATGACGAGAGGGGGCAAAAATCGTCCAAAATCGCGTGACGTCATTTATGGACGTCCCCTTGGAAGCTAAGCGGCACGGATTGGCGGGTTGTTGTTGTTGTTGTTACGAAGCGCGGAGCTGTGAAGCGTGGCCAGGAGATGACCGTGGTCAGTGCGGCCTCCTCGTTTTGCTTTCTGGGCCTTCTCCGGGTTTCTCCGGTTGCCTCCCACGTGAAGCCGAGCTTGAAAACTCGTTCCTCTTGAGCTGTTTTTTTTTTGCTTTTGCGTGTTTAGCACGTTGTCCTTCCGCCCGCACCTCCGATTAGCACGGTTGGCTGCGTAGGGTGCGAAAGAAATTCAACGTGCATATGTACTACGTAGGAACTCCAAAAGTTGAATGAGGCCAAAAATCACAAAATGCAGGACCCTACTTTCATTTAATACTGAGACTCTCTGAGGCTTTCCTCGGCATATAAAGGCCATCAATTGGCATTTCCTTGCCCCAAGAAAAAAAGAAATCATCTTCTAATATCCCGTTTCTTCAAATTCTCCAGGTGCGTCCACTGTCCCGAGATGTGATCGCATTCGTGCACTTCATGAATACATTTGAAGTTCAAATCTTCATCCCCGAGAAGATAAAAATCAACTTAAGGTCAAGAGCGTGATGGTGGTGTCACTGCAGCCTCCAGTACTTCTGTGATGCCATTGCAGGCCAGTTCCAACAAGCTAGACAGCCTCCGGTCAATATTTATATATCGGCTTATTTGTGAAACAATCCGATGTGATAATTGTTTTCTACCCTTTTATCCGGCAACAAAACTGACACCTTTTTTGCAAAGAGTCATGTTTGCATTGACCACAATACCTGTGGTCGGAATGCAAACAAAAAACATAACTCTGATAATGTATGCACTGTCCTTGAAATTGATTGGTCCACACCCGAGACAGCTTTCCTTAGAGCCTAGTCTCACATGGTGTTGGACCAAATGACGCCAAAAGGTGTCATCTGGTGCGCCTTTTGGCGTCATCTGGTCCAACACCATGTGAGACTAGGCTCTAAGGAAGACTCAGCTCTAAGGAAAGCTGTCTCGGGTGTGGACCAATCAATTTCAAGGACAGTGCCAATACATTATCAGAGTTGTGTTTTTGTTTGCATTCCGACCGCAGGTATTGTGGTCAATGCAAACATGACTCCTTGTAAAAAAAAGGTGTCAGTTTTGTTGCCAGATAAAAGGGTAAAAAACAATAATCATATTTTTCTACTGGCAAAGGAGGTTCCAATGGTGAAACAATCCGATGGTTTGACCTCTACAGGAATAGAATGCGTGATCATCATCTTAGCGTGGATGAGAGACCGCCTGTATATCTGTATCACAGAGCCCGCGTGTCTCTCTGTATAAGAGAGACACCACTTGTCTGTCTGCGTCTCACCGGAGGTGCGGGGAATCGCTTGCGCTCATAGGCTGACTCTGCGAATGGCGCACGTGAGAAGGCACGTCGCGGTTGTACCGGCGGGTACCCACCACGTGGTCCACAGTGTCTTCACAGTGTCTGAAACGTGCGTCAGGAACCACGGAACTTTTCCCCCGCAGTGCAACGCGCAGTAGCCGCGCCCTTGTTTAAAGGGGGGGGGGGGGGCATTGGCCCGGCACTCGGTTGTTAAACAAACTTTAAACAAACATTAAACGCCAAACAACATTTGTAACCATGCGGTCTGCTTTTGTCAATCGAGCAATTTGCTCCGTGTAACACCACACGAGTTTCAAGCAGGGGATGTCGTTGAGCTTTCGGCTTCATTCGGAAAAAGAAATCCCCCATGCTGCGACATCGCTGCCCCGCCGGCAGAGAGATTCGTTTCCCATCGCGCAGCGCCGCACAGGGACAGCTGCCAATAGGGCCGGGGTCGAGGGCGATTTCGAGTTCCTGCGGCATGCAAGCGATGCCGCGTCGTGCGTGCGTGCGTTGAACGTCTCCCGCACCGTACGCGGCCAAGCGCACCGCGGTTGGCCGCGTACGGCGCGAAAGAAGTTCAACACGGTGCTGGTCGGAGTAAGCGCCCTGCAAGCGCACAAACCCTGATCCGTCGCTTTTGTCGCTTTTTTTCTCTTCCGTTCTCCGATTGCCGGCGACCTTCGGCGTCGTCGGCGTCGCCGTCGGATTTTGCGCGCGACTGCGCCAGGCGGTGTACGGGCTGGCGGACGTGGCGTGCAAGTGCCACGGCGTGTCGGGCTCGTGCTCGCTCAAGACGTGCTGGCTGCAGCTCGCCGACTTCCGCAAGGTGGGCAAGTTTCTCAAGGAGAAGTACGACAGCGCGTCTGCGGCGCGGGCCGGCCGGCGCGCCAAGCTCGAGCCGGCCAACCGCAAGTTCAGCCCGCCGTCGGCCGGTGACCTCGTGTACCTGGACGCGAGCCCGGACTACTGCGTGCGCAACGAGACGACGGGCTCGCTGGGCACGATCGGCCGCTCGTGCAACAAGACGTCGGAGGGCATGGACGGCTGCGAGCTCATGTGCTGCGGCCGCGGCTACGACCACTTCAAGGCGACCGTGGTGGAGCGCTGCAACTGCAAGTTCCACTGGTGCTGCTACGTCAAGTGCAAGAAGTGCACGTCGGTCGTGGACAGGTTCGTGTGCAAGTGAAGGGCCGATAGAGGCGGTGGGAAGTGAGGGCCGGGAGGTCGTGGCGGCGGCGGCGGCGGTGGCGGCGGTGGTTGTTGTTGGGGTGAGCCGAGGGTCGGAGGTGAAAGGTCGGAAGGACACTTGATGGTGAGGGTGGTGACATCCAGTCGCGTTATTTAAAAGGGGGCGAAGGCGCCCGAGACGCCTCCACCGTGGACAGATTTGTACATCTGCTGTGGAGGAGCTCCGGGGGAGAAATTAGTTGTGTTTGGGCGTTTGTTTTTGTTCGTTTAAACATATGACAAAGACGAGCATGTGGATGGGCCAGTAAAATAGAACAAGTTTTGACGAAGTGGACTCGGGCGTGAATTCTGCTCGGTCTGTTTTTGTTTTTGTTTTTTTCTCTCCTACAAATTTGTAAATACTCGGTATGCAAAATAACGTTGCCATCCCCACAACAAAACGACAACATCGGCACGTGTAACGGGACTTGCGGTGTCTGTCACATGTGTTGCATTAATTCACCCTTACTTGTAGACACGAAGACAAAGATCCCCCACGTAGCCTTGGCAGACTTTAGGGGCAAGTGCTGCTAGCGAGCACCTACGAAAGTCGGCACGGCACACGAGGGGGTGGGTGGCCAGCACCACGCCCGGCCGCCTTTGTCTCCCTAGTGGCTACGTTTACACACCGCACCAGGTACCAATTCGAGGCTGAGTCGACCTAGGGGAGGCCCGGGAACGGTTCATATAATCGTCCCTGGCTGTTGGCCGCGAGCGGGAATCGAACTCGGACCGCTGGGGTTGGTAGCAGAGCGCAGCGCTTACCGCGACACTTACCCAACCGCTCCGCGCTCGCGGGCACAAGCGCAGATCCACAAACCCCTCGTCCACCACGATCGTTTTTTGCAACGTGGGCCGACGGTTTTGACGAACGAGGGGAGAGAACGCAGCCCCCCGAAGGTCTCGCCAGCGTGCCTGCCGTCGAACCTCCAAGTCTCCCCCGTCACCTCTTGTTTCGCTTGTATTTCCTTTTTTTTTATTGTTCGCTCAGACCATCCATCCCGTGGAAAAAGCGCAAGGCGGCTTTGCAGCTCTTGCTTTTTGATCGACGTGTCGTAAATATGACCCCCATTCGGCGAGGCAGTCCCGTCGCCCTCGGCCAAAAGCCGTTGGCTTCCGCTGCATTTCAGTCCTTGGCCCGCAAGCAGACAGCCGGTAATTAATACATCTGCAACTTTAAACAGTGCACGTGGCGCATTGGCAGAAAACGCCACAATTATGTTGTAATTTAAGTTGTCCAGGGAGCGGGATTTTATTATTATTATTATTATTATTGTGTACTCCCAATTACAGCTGTCATCGTTCGTGTCACGTCCCCGAAAATAAAATTCTGCAGTTCACATGAATGGAAGTCGGGCAGATTAATGCCATATAATGAGCTTGGCAATCACACCGTTTGCGTGTTTCACATTAAATAAAATGCAGGTTATGACTCCAAATAATTGGCTTTTTTTATATATATATGTGATGGACACTACGCCATTTGTTGTGAAACAGATTCCTTCTGATAAGATTAAGACAACGATGTTGAAAAATTCCTGATGGAACATCTTATGAATCGTGAAGGTTAATTTTAAATCATAAATGGTAACGTTGTGACCGTAGACTTCGACAATCCTTTTCTCTGTTAACAGATTACTTATTTGTGAATTAGTCATACATTAATCTTTGTTTTTTTTCGGTAAAGTCACGTAGAAATAAGAAAAAATCAAATTACATAATATACGACGTTTCGATTGCAACACAAGCCATCATCATCAGGTAGAGGAAACACATAACCGCAGAGATATATACAGACCTTAAGTAGAGGGAATTAACACAGATATACTAGGGGATACAGAGAGACGGAGCATCACACTAAATCAAACAGGGATTAGCAAAATTTGGAAACTGTATAAAGCAACACAGACGGTCGGTTAAAACACAATTGACGCATGGTCTGGTTGAATACACTATTTCAAAGATTGTTAAATAATTTTAGACAAGTAGATTGAACAAAAAATGTGGACTTTCCCCTACAAACCGCCTGTGGCATAACATCTTTCTTGCATCATGTTTTTAAGAAAAAAAATCAGTCGAGTGACTTTGTTTGTTCTGTGTTATGACGGGCGTGAACACGTGATCAAGGCACGCGGTCTTACCCACGGGCGCTACCCGTGGCTATGAGATGTTAACTCCCTCACCCGGTATGCAGGAGGTCGTGGATTCGACTCCGACCCTGAAGTCTGTGTACATTTGGAGTCTGCTTGTCTCTCGCCCTCCCCGTGACCGCATGGATTTTTCTCCGGCTCCTCGGGTTTTTCCCTCCACATTTAGACACCTGCATTTAGAGTATTTGCCGGCTATACATTTCCACGTGACAAGCCACTTCGTTGAGCTTTCATTTGTAACCAGGTCGCTTCTGACAAAGAGCTAAATAGCTCAGTGGGCCTTACCTGGTAAAATAAAAAAAACAGTTTTGTTCAAGTCACATGATCATTTACTTCACGAAATCTCAAAACATTCGCCGATAAAACTGCCCTGAAAGGAAATAGCATGTATAGAGAAAAACAGGCAACTATCGTATATAAAAAAAGTCGTTTCCAGAAATGTCACCGATTATATTGACGGTTTTCCTTTCAGGGCAGTTTTATTGACAGACTTGTTGAGGTTCAGATGATATATTTTTTTAATATATATTCTTAAGGGAGTCACTGCTGGAAGTGGGGGACACTTGTTGCTCACGCCCCCAAAGCCAACCTTGCCGAACGAAATTCAATTTCATAGCAACCTCCATGCAACATTTCCCAGTCGCCTTAGCTGCAGTGATGATCAAAGGCGACCTCATTACGTTTGACCGTTTCTGTTCAGTGTCCAGAGTTCCGGCACATCCTAACACTAACGCCGGGTACACGCCTCGGTTGTGCAACTTAGTTGCATGCAACTGCATCGCATACATATGTTGACGTCTCTGCAGCTGGTTGCTTACAGTCGGGATGAGCTTCACTCTCAAGCCTCGATCTGCTCGGCGATGTGTCATCACAATCCCGAACACAGCACGCGGTTGAATTTCCTTGCTGCGCCAACTCATCGCTCAGATGTGGACAACGCAGTCGCAGGCGGTGGTGGTGGTGGTGATGATGATGATGACTAAGTCGCGCGATTTCGAGAGCAATTCCATTGCAAGATTGATCTCCGATGTGTGTGTGGGACCCGGGTTTTTTGTTTGATTCTCTAAGACTTCCAGTGATTTATTTTCTTAACCGTCATTGCTTCAAGGAAGGCAAAAAGGGCAGCTTTACAAGAGGCACTTACCATAACAAGCTGCATAATAACCCGACATACCAGCTGGGTTGTGAATGGTGTTGTCGTGATGTCATTGTGCATGGTACGATACCAGTTTTCGCGATTGTACGATGATTGTCGCGACATATAAACGTCCCGCCATTTAGCAAATCGTCTATCTCACACCATGTTTCATTGCACGCACGGTGAAAATGAAAGACGAGTTCGAAAGTGTTTCAACTCAGCACGAGCCTGCCACGTGTTACGTAATCGCCGCAATCGTTGCAACAATTGCGGCGCCCTCACTGTCAGCTGCTCAAGATAAGCAACCAATGAACAACTCAATGAGTCTAGGTTTCCCTTCAGTTGTCATGCAGGAAAGCAAGCAGGTTTCATTGGGGAATGATAACAATGTATTTAGAGCTTTGATTATATCCAGAGTATTTCACACGGGGAAAAAAAAAATATTTGTTTGGAAATAAGATATAATTTTTTAACGACACATAAGCTTAAGTTTTACCCTTTCTGGCAAAACAAAACAGGTGTTAAGATGTTCGTACACTGAATAGGTTAATTTTGCAAGGAGTCAACTTCGCATTATCCACACGTCCTTGTGGTGAACATGCAAACACAACACAAGCACTCTGTGTGGTTAATGCAGCACATGACTCCATGCAAAAGGAATCTATTTGCTGTTTGAACATCCTAACGCCTGCTTTATTGCCATGAAGGGGAAATACCTGTATTCTCATTGTTTATATTTTGATACTGGCAACAACAACAACAACTAAAATATCCCATAGATATGTTTCAACGATCTAATTCTATTCACAAAATGCAGGGCAACGTTTTTTTATCGTGGAACGTCATCGCCACATCGCGACCTCAAATCACGAGGGCCTCCCTCAGCAGTGACAACGAGACACCGCCGACTCCTCTAATAATCGTGTGTTATAGCTTTGATATTAATCTTGATTTGAGGCTTTCGTGACTGCAGGAATTCATACTCGTTGAGTCTTTCGGTAAAGTCACGTAGATAGCAAAATAAAATAGCTACGTGACTTTACCGATTGAACCAAAGAGTATAGCCTTGATATTGTCTCGTCTGTCTGTGTAATTAATCCGACCCGAAGCTAAGCAAGTGCACGTGTTCTGGCCGTTCGCAAAAGCCCGGGCAAGTATATTATTCTTGAAAACCAAAACAAAAATGCGTGAAAGGGGTACGCGTTTTGTTCTTGTAAATCACTCTTTTCTACTGTTAATTTATATTATACCACCACTAAAAAAAAGGCGTACGTCTATTAAAATGTAGGGCCTCGAGTATGTATCGTAGTAACGTTGGATGTATGCACCGGTTAAAGATAAAGGTGGCGTTTGACCGTATAGGTGTACATTGCATTGTAATTCTGTCGCCGTGTGCACGGCTGTTGTACACTGTTTATTTTGCCACATATGCTCTTGGATTAATAAACATATTTTTGTGGAATTATCGCGACTTGCGGAACTTCAATTGAGCGTCAAGTCAAAGTCATTTCCTGCTCAAACGAGCATTGAGGTGGCGCTCATCAGCTGTTTACAGCGTCCTGCCAGTGGTGGAAATTCCACATTCATATCTTCGGAGTCTATCCATAAGATAGCCACTGTTGACTTCCCCACAAATGGTATTTATTTTCCATAATATCGGTTTGTTTGGGTTAGATCGCGTAAATACAAAACCTATATTTACGATCGCGTAAAACATTTACGCGATATAACCCAACAAACCTATTATGGATGATATTGGTCGCGAAAAGCTACGTGTTGAACGGTATTTATTTTATAGACCCCTGATGGATGATCAGCTAAGTCACCCCACAACTACGATGTAGGGCGCCACGGTGGCTATGAGATGTTAACTACCTCGCCTGGTATACAGGAGGTCGTTGGTTTGATCCCGACCCTGATGCCTGCTGCTGTATATTTGGAGTTTGCATGTGTCTTTCCCCGTGGTAGCGTGGATTTTTTCTCTGGGTCCTCCGGTTTTTTCCTCCATGTTTAAAATTAACATCACGCGTTTAGAGCATTTGGCTGCTATACATTTCCACGTTATGATAAGCCACTTCGTTGAGCTATCATTTGTGTCCAGGTCGCTTCTGAAAATTTGGGCCTTACCTGGTAAAAAAAAAATGTATAGTTCACAGGGTTTGAAATCAGAAGCTTCCGTTTGCAAGAAGCTCGCTGTACAGCTGAACTACCCAGGGTGCCTCGGTGGCGAGATGTTAACTACCTCGCTAGGTATACAGAAGGTTGTGGGTTCGAATCAGATCTTGACGCTGCCTGTATAT